TACTATTGGGTTTTTTTTTTCTTCGGAAAATTTCCATATGGCGAAATTGGGTCGACCCTGAAGCTCATTACTCTAAATCACATGCCTGTTCGGTTCAGCGCGTCATAATTAACAGGAAGTACGTCACTTTAGAAATACAAAATACAGTCCTGTAGATGGCGCTTTTTGAAGCTATAAATGGACATTACGATATTATTGTTGCTGTATTTCCTGACACGATAAATACTGCATGCACAGACTGAAATCGAATGTGCAAATCAAAATTAGTATAAGAAACATTTTCACCGAAAAATAGAACGTTATATTATCTTGGCCTAGGTTCATTAAATTATCAGTTGTAAAGATAAAGATGCCGTTCTGTAAGAAAGGTAAGTCAGATTAATATACTCGTGCAGATTTCGATCAATAATCAATGTGTGTTTAGGCCTATATCTACTTATCTACTGCGTAATAATATCGCTATGTGTATTATATAGAGGCCTAGCCTAGCCCAATCCAATGTTTTGGATGGGCGGCTTGGCTGAGGTTGTCCTGGTTCAAGGCAAGACAGGCGTTTGATGGTGTGATGTTTTCGTGGGCTTAGGTTAAGTATCCCCTTTTAATTAGTTAAGTGCTACAACAACAAAATTATTTCTCTGAGCTTCTATGTGTGAACTATTGGCAATGATTATTCGTCATTCAAAATACTGTAAAAACAAAATAAAAATAAATAGAGTGATGGTGTGTTTCTTTTTTCCTACTTTTTCATAACCCATCCATGCTTTCTGTGTTGACAGTTCACTTGAATATCAGTACAAGTGCAGTAATATATTTTTGACTTTTTAGTTCATTCTATTTTGACAGGTTCATTAGGTTTACTTTTCCCATAATTCTTCCAGCCGGATTTACTCTCACACAAGTGAGACGATAGCTAAGGGCACATAGAGAAAAAATTGTTAGATTATAACTCCTGCCCGCATCAAAAATTTAGGAAATATCGATACAGGGATAAATTTTTTTTTTTGCCGCATTATATATTTCAACAGCATAAAGAAAACAATGCAATTTTGTGACTGGAAATACACTTTCTTTTAAAAAAACAATAAAATTAAACCAGTTTTTATACAATATTTAAAATATTCTTGCCAAATAAAAACAGTCCCTCCCTCATCGATAAAAAAAAAAAATATTCTGTTCTGCCCGCCCTCATCACATTAAAAAAAATATCTATTAATATCTAATAATTTTTTCTATGTGCCCTAAATGTAGGCACAGAAACTGAACTTTACAAACATAAATTAATTAAACCCTTTTGCACTATTAGCAGTTTCAGAAATTACACCCTGTTTAGACTGGCATCACATTGTGATCGGTTGTTGTAGCAATTGCGAAACCCAATAGCCATTCATAATCGTACAGCTCACCAATTAGTTGATAAGTAATCAACATCGCAGTTTTTTACCTGTTGCGATATGGTGCTACAATCTGTATTACTTCCGATTACCACGGAATCCGATCGCAACAAATTCCACAGGCACTGATTTGCTGAGGCCAGTCATTATAGGTCTACACGTAGTTACCGAGACCTAGTACCGTATTACCTCACGTTGCAATGTAAGGTTTTTTTGTCTCTGATTTGGTCTGAATGTGCCCATTTGTTGCGATCAGTAGTAATCAGCTTTGGATTACCACTGACTACACAGTGGCGTATCAAGTTAAGTATTGAAATGGGGGTGCTAATGGAGGTGGGGGCGTGAGGGTGTTGTGGGGGCTCGATTGAGGAGCGCTAATTCGCAAAACAAGTTGATTTTAGGTGAGTTTTAACTACTTGACCGTGATTTTTGGAGGACGATTGGAAGGGTGCTAGTAATGTTTGGAGGGGCGTCCACCCGGCATCCCCTATATACGCCACTGTGTCTACATCGCAACTGATTGCAACGGAGTGTAGTCTGAATAGGGTATTAGTCACAAGGAAGCTTGTACCACCATCAGAAATTGAAAGCTTCTGTTGGACAGCTTTTGCCGCATCCCAATAGTCCCCCGAAATTACATTCCAAAGTCACTGGTAATGCATGTCATAATTTCCTGGTTATTATTACTGTATTTGTACATGTTCTCTTTTAGATAAGAAAAAGCCAGCATATCCAGTACAACAACCTGCATATCCAGTGCAGTCATACCCGACCCAGCCAACCTACACTACACAGCAAATCTACACCCCACAGCAACCCTACCCCACACAGCAAGTCTACCACCAACATCAAGGTACTTTCCAGCCTGTGGTTCTTCCTCAGGGAGCACAAGGGATGGGTTATCCACAGCAGAGTCAAGCTGGGGCTATGCCCCCCGCAGGACCACCACCACCCTACACACCTCAGGCTCAGGTAAGGCATAATGACAATTATAATTGTATGGGAATGACACCATTATGTATTGAGAGTGAAGCTGATGATGACACTATACTGTAGTAGTTAAATAACTGAAGGCAAGTGGATTTAACATGACATTTAATGTCTTTTTCTCACCAGGTGTATCCTCCACAACCCATGCCAGCTCCGTCAACAGTTGTAGTACAGGGAGGTTTTGATGCAGGTGCAAGAAATCCAACATCGATTCCGGTAAGTCTGATCAGATTTGATATAGCTGTCACCTATTTTCAAACACTATCGAAAAAATGTTAAGAAAAAATGTCAAAAAAAAACCCTGTTAAAATCTATGCTTTCAAATATTTACATTTGCTCAAATGTTACTCATTCCTAAGTATTGCATCATCCCTCAAAAATTTACCCACTTTAATTTTTCATACCCAGTTTTCTGCACATACTTCACTCACTACTCAAATGTAGATGTATGCAGTCAGAAGCAGATTAAAGGGGAGGGAGACAGTGGCCGGCCTGGGCCTCCACTAAATTTGTGTAAAAATGGTTGGGAAACAAAGAAATTACATTCACATTTAAGTATGTGCCAATTCCAGCCTTCTAAAGGCGCCATAGCCATAAAATTTCATACCTCAGCCCCAACTGAAGCAGTCTCAACACTCTATCTGTGACAGTCCCTTTTCCTGTTCCCCCTCTTTCAAATTCCTGGAACTGCCACTGGTTGTAACAATTACCAGTAATGTACATGGCCTTCCAATGACATGTCATTGTTGTAGCATTGTATTTAGTTTGTACAGTTCCTGCCTATCTATGTAATGCTTCCATTTTTAGGCCAAGTCTTCTTCTTATCCACAAACAACTTGCCATACTTTATGACCTTCAATATGCAAATTTCTCAATAAAAGTATGTACACTGAATGCCCCAGTGAACTTTAAAGAGGCATTCAGTACCAACAAAGGGAGTAAGCTTTTATAAACCTTTGAAGTCAAATACAGTATAATAAACCTAACCAATAGTTCCTCCTTGCGTGAAACACCCCCTGGTTGTTTTCTCTAAATCTATTAATGTAATATACAGTACTAGGCTTTCGTGGGTATTAACAATTTACTACCGTGGAACTCATAGCACTTCTGTACTATCATAAAATCCAGTGATTTTTGGGGTTTTGTTTGCTTATGCATTCAGTACATGGACGGCATTCTGATTTCTGTTATGATCAGTAGTTGGAAGCAAAATTATGTACCCTTAAACCAAAGGAATTCTGGGAAACAATATTACAGTAGTAAAAAACAATTAAACATTCTAAACTTCGCAGGTTAGTTTGCGAGATAAATTTCTTGCTGGTGGACTGCTGATTTCCGGAAAAGTCTCCAAACTTATGCAATACTTGGACTCCTGCCAACATTTTTAAGTGTCATGTATAAAACCAGTAAATAACATACATCAACAATTAACTTGCTTCTCAACTTTTCTTTCTATATAATTATTAGCCACCTCCACCAGGCTATGCTCCAAATTCAGCTCAGCTAGCATCCACTCAAGGCCAGAATGTTGTAGTGAGTCAGCGACCAAGTAATTGGATGACCGGTGGGTCGGATGGAGGCTATGTAGTCTGGTAAACAGCACACTGACTAAATATTACATTCATCGATTGATGTATCCAACCAAGTGTGAGGTGGTAGCTTAATTTATGAAATTAAAGTCCTTTACCTGGTTAGCCACTATAGCATGTATAATCTTGAAAATATAACAATAACGAAGCTAAATGACATTTTTTGAAGAACCAGTAATTTATTAAAGCAGTTTAAAGTAAATAATATTGCGATAAAACAAACATTATTTTTCAACTGAACAAACAAACTTGTACTCAATAAAGATATTAACATAGTGTGAGGACATTTTGTAAATATTATAGTACAGTATTAGAGTTTAGACTTACTCTATGGACTAAATTAAACAAGTGAGGCAAATCTTTTTTTATAGAATTAGTTTTTGTATTAATATATAATATTGTATATTTCTTTTACCCCATCTTCTATACTTTGTAAAATAATGAAATATCAACATTTATCATTATAAACGTTCACTGTTCAAGTAAACTTGAATTTGTACTGTAGTTTTGTTTTTTTTGTGAAATAGTATCAATCATGGGCGGCGGAAGTGGTCAGGCGGTCGTCTGACCAATATTTTGCTGAGTTAAATATTGTATTGAAATAATACTTACAGTATAATAAAACCAATTGTTTTTTTTTACAAATTTCTCCTACTTTTTACTTCAGGGACAAATTATACTAAAATTTAAGTGCTTTCCGGCCATCTAAAGGTGCAGAAATTATAAATTTTTCTTGGTTGGGGCTGAGATGCTAGGGCCCTCTATCTCTGAAACTCCTTCCCTGGCCCTTATCTCTTTTGAATTCTTGGATCGGCCACTGGGTGATACAAAGTTTAGCTTTCTGGTAAATGTGTAGTGTACTAAAGCCCGTCTGTAAGTCTAAAATCCATGGTGCGATAATATCTGGTTTCTAAAAATCTAATTGCTTGATATGTTTAAATACAGTGGCGAATTCAAGAGGAGGAGACCAAGTCGCCCCCACCCCCTCAATTTTTTCAGAATTATTTAAAAAATGAGAGAAAAACTAGGCCAAGTAACAAGTTAGGTCTAAGGGTGCCAATTTCAGCCATCTGTGTGTGTCATAATCATAAGGTTTCTAACCTCAGCCCCAACCATGGTGGTGCTGAGCTGGTCTACACTCTGTTTTACAAACTTATTTTTTGGGGCCAGTAGGTAAATTTTTTGTCTTAAAAGTGCTATTGTAACCTTTCAACATACAACATTATGGGATGTGGAAATTCTGTAGTCAGGCCGCCCGATAGGACTAGAATAGGGGAGACAAGTCTCGGTAGAGTACGGGTGTGGACAAGCTGCGTCTTGTGGGCTCCCACATTTGATGAATAAACCCTTAAGCTTTACTTGGTGTCTGGATTCTCATTATATCTCTGATCCAACCATCGAACATAGTGTTACACTAAATCCTGAAAAGTGCTAACCACCTCAGCCCCAACCAAGGTGGGGCTGAGGTTGGTGTGGTCCCTCCTGCCTGACCAAAATTAAAATGCTTCTGCCGCCCGTCAATCATAAACATACATTTTTATTTGAATAAACTCCCCGGGTCATTGTTGAGAATGGTTTTTGGGAGGCGTTTATTGCATTAGTACAGTATAAATAAAATGGATACGTATATGTACAACGCCCTTAATTTTACTGTAAATATGGAATACAGCACGTAATTACTGTCAAAATGTGTTATTGCCTGATCATAAAGACAAACTGACCCGAACCAAAAAATTCAATTCTACTGGAGTACAAAATTATTAGAAGTGTTGAGAATGGTGTTGCTTTAGTTTTGTTTACAGTAATTTAGGGAGGTGTTTACTTGAGGAAAAAGAGGCATGTATTCCAAATGAAGCGTTGGGGGGGGGGTGCTTATTCAAATAAATATGGTAATTAGAACCTACTTTTTAGAATTGAAGTACTATGTATTGTAAATAATTAGGTTTAATATAAAATACTGAAACTAGTAAATAAAAACAGTTACCGAGGATGATAGTTGGGGGGGGGGGGGGGTGTGTGGGGGGAGATGTGTAAAAGATGTTAGAAGATTGACAAAAAGAAGTTGGTATACATGATTATGAACATTCAAAACCACTATCCTCCAGTTACAATTTGGTTATTTTACAATCCTGAGCCACAAGGCTAAGTTAGTAAGAAGCTATTGCATTAAGTACATGCTGTTTTTATAATGGAAAATCACACAGTTACTGTATATATTATTTGGGTGAGATGCACTAGACTTTTAAGGGTACCAATAAATCTGGATGTTCTGTACACAACATAAACAAGTGTATGTGTGTATCCATGTGCTGTATTCAATAATGATTTAATATCACTAGACCCAAAAGATATAAATGTATACACAAATGATAGTACAGTGTATTTAAAACAAGTACCTCCTTGAAAAATAGAATTCAGATAACCTGTTACTCCAAAGAAAGTGATACAAGCCATCATTAGTTAATTAAAAAATTGCTCGAGTTGCTCCTTTTTGTATGAACAAATGCCAGTGTACTGAAATGTAGGGGTCACTAGGCATACTTAGAAATGAAATGTCATGATTGACATGACAACTATTCACTAAATGTATAATATATTTATTCAGCAGTAAAATATATATAGCGCCCTCTCTGTACATATAATCGGAAATGTGTGTAATCAACCTTCTTTTAGAAAAGTTCTAAACTTTCAAGACCAAACATAGAAGGAGTTCACATTAACATTATAGTTTACAATCTATTTTCCTTTTTCAAACTCAGGACATAAAAAGTATTTATAATATCACCAATGAATACAGTATATATTATGACAGATAGTGCTAAAATTATGTTACTGGCATATTGAATAATTCTTAATGTGCACACAGCCATGAACCACAAAGGCCTGTATGTGACAAACAAGCCAGTGGTGATTGGATCATAAACAAACAAAATACATTTAAATTAAATTAAACCCAAGTTATACAGTACTTGGAGCTATGCATTCACCATATTTTTCCCTTTCCCTTTTAAATATGACCATTGTCCCCTTCCTAGGAAAGTGCTGAATTTGACTGCTTTTGTCTCCTTTCTGCCATAGTGATAAACATCAAACATCAAAAAATAATGAAGGACATGCCTTTGCTATTTTCAGTGTAACTGTAGCTAACTGATATGAATGTACTGTACTACATAATTATTGATTAATTAACCATCTTTTCATTAAAATACACCACCAAATTATAAACTCTTGGTTTTAGACTTCTCCATAGAACTGATGATATGATGCTGGAATTGCATGCAACATTTATGCTTACTTTATTATGGCTTATACCTATATCAAGCTGAATACATACAGTACATGAGTTTCATAAATATAATTTTCTCAACCGATACAATATGTTTGATTTAATATAGTTGGAGACAAACTTTTAAAATTAAGAGTGACGCAAGTTGTAATATTTCAAACTTCTCATACCATTTTATAAATAAATATATATATTCAATAAATAGATGACAAGATATAAAAATATTACTGTTACTAGTTATAAAATGCTTATTATATTTTGCTGTAGATATTTAAATATATAAATTCCCAGTATAAATATCCAGCAACATATATCCTGTCATTTATTATCACCTTTTACACTGTCTAATCATAAAGCAGAATTAAAGCTAGCTTCTAAAATGCTTTGTAGCAAAATTGTAGGCCTATTCTGTTATGGAGAAAATGCAGCAGAGGACAGAATGGAGCTGCACTGCTTATAATCGTCTGAAAGGAGATGGTACCTATAGAAGAAATGATGGCAAGGGTATCTGGTTTGGAGAAGCCATTTCATTCAGATGCTGTTTAATGGGTTAGTTCACATGCGAGTTGAGTGGCCGAGCGGTAAGGCAGGGGTGCCGCTAACTATAAAAATGGAGGTCCAGTGTACACGTCTGGCTTGTGTGCACTTTCGGAAGAGTAGGGGTTACTCCGATGCTATGGTTCATTTCAGTCCTATCGTTGTGGAATGATGTGAACATGTAGCTACTAAGCACCTCTTTACGGCCGCTTGGTAGTGACAGACCACACCCATACGCAATTCAGCACAATGACACTGCGAGACATAGGTTATTACCCTACGTACCTTTACCAATGCTCGCAGAAATATTTCAGGGAAACTTCCACCACTCGCAGAAGACTTGAAACCTATCAATGGCTATAGAAAGAAATTAATAACAGGACATGCTTATGATCAGCTTAAAAGATTAACTATTTTTAAAATTAATGAAAGAATAATAACAGGTACCATACTATTAATAGAAATATAATGTTGTCATACAATATCCATGCTCTCAATGTCAATAAAATAAATACCGGTAATATTAATTTTGATTGCCATAGCCATGCAAATAATTTTAATAAAGAAAATACCAAATTCAGTTACCATCAGCATAACAATTACACATTGTTAATAATAATAAAAACAAGCATTATCAGTTGCCATCATATAACAGCCTTGATGAAACCTAATACAAATAAATGAGTGAAATAACATACTGAAACTGTGTTAACATCAAACTAAATAGCAAAAATAATTACTATGATCACTTTGAAAATATCTTAATATCATTAAACAATAAGCATGCTCTTAAATTACATAAATTGATAACAATAAACCTGAGATCTTTATTACATATATGCATACTATATAAAATTTCTAATCTAATAGAACAATATATAAAATTACAAAAAGTAAAACCCTTGTTATTACTGTTTAACATTTAAATTGTACAAAAGCACCTGCATAGATTGTCTGGGTTTAAATCATACTGAAGTTTACAAAATTTGCGACCTCAAAACTTGTGGTCTTGTAACAATACTGTAAGTGGTGTAACATATAGTGCAAACATACTGTAAAATTCTTACTGTATTAAAAGAATGCCCCACTGATAATATGAGAATACAAGGCAAGAAAGGGAGCGTGATTGTTCAAATTACTGTTCTTTGACGTTCCATAAACTATGGGCAACCATGGGATTCATTCCCAAATTGGGACACCCACATATCTTGGAGGGACGCTGATCTATAATACCAGACGCACTAAAATTATATTTTAAAATTTTATATTGATTCATTAAAGAGTAGTGCACAGAGTCAGCCACAGGGTTGGGAGAAACACTGGACCCCCATTAGGGAAAGAACCAATTATTTCGTCAGAATACTGAGTTCATTTTCACAGTCTAAAGCTACATTTACGCTAGACACGATTACGACAACTACACGATACAAATGCGCGCAGTGTTGAAGAATACAAACTACGCGATATATATCATTGTTGTGTCCAGTGTAAATCTAGCTTAAGGATGTCATTCTAGGCATCTCACCTCTCAGCCACAACCATGTTGAGCATGGGCCCATGTTGTTGACACTACCCGGTGGACACTGCATTGTACGACAGTCAGCCAACAAGTTCATCGGTGCTGTATGTAAGTTCTTCCCTGATGGAATGCTAGTTCATAGATTTTTGACGGCAGTCTAAGCAGGTTACCGTTAAAAATGATCTATCATGCAATGCAAAAGTCTCCTGGAATCGCGTCAGTTAACGTTTACACAATGTGTTAGGATTTAATGACACAGTATATCACTTACAAATAGTAAATATAATAGGCTATTGGCAATACTTGGCCCCATTTGAATACATACAAAAATGTTCAATATTAAAATGGCAAGTGAAACAGTTAAAGTTATTGCTTTCATACAAATCATCTAATAAAATACTATACCACTGCTGGCAAGCAAACAAGGTAGGTTTGGTGGGGGACGGAGGGTGTTGGTAGAGGGTATAATTTCAGTATCAGACAACAAACAGCTGGCCACTAAAAGCAGAAAGTCGATCAAACATCAGTGTAGTAACTAAAGAACCAATGCGTTCAACAGCACCCATGTAGTATGTTTTCTCTTCAAGCACCAAAATGCTGACGTTTATTGCACTTCCTTTTGATTGGTTGCTCAGAGTGTGAGCTATTTGATGAAGTTTCTCCATATTTGGTGGGCATTTCATAAGCAGAATCATGATGAGGCACCCGCCATCGGTGGCGTGCTCTTCCAACCAGTTCAGTGCCTCATTAGCTTGATCTTGCACATTCTCCTCACCCTCCTAATATTGGGAAAAAATGATTGGAAAATAATAATGATCATAATTTGCGATTTGTATAGCACCTCCAGTTGAACCAACCTCGAAAAAAAGGAAACAGACAAGAAATTATACCATGAACCTTGACTCACAGAATTCTTGAAGCTTAAAACATTTCAATGCAATTTGATGCAAAATATTTAATCATAAAGAATAGTTTAATTTTATAATTGTTATGTATACTATTAATAACAACAATAAGAATGGTAATACTGTACATACTGCTAACAATAATTATGATAATTTAAAAATATTAATAATAAAAATATTCATAATTTTAATAATAATAAATACAATATTAACAATTGTTATAATTATTGAGAAAAGAGCACCCACAAGTAACATTACTAGAATATAATGAATTCTCATAAACACACCTACTGCATGGTGTCTACAACTAAGTATGCCTATATATGTAATGTCATGTCAAGCAAATACCAGAAGATAAAGATTAACTACTCACAACCATGATAGCAATGGAGTTGATATGCTTAGGAGTACTGGTCAACCAATGGACACTTGAACAGCGCTGTAAAAAAGTCAGGAATGTTAATAGCTGAATGCCTTAATCGTCAGGGTTGTGGACCAGTTAAGCATTAATATGGGAAGTGAGTCTTTTTCTTAGTACAAACTTTGAAGTACCAACTTAAATACTTGGAAGGCTTCAGCACAACTATTTCTACTCGATCATATCAGGTGAAGATGCAGTGCGGAATGTTTTTATCTGAATGTAAAAGGAAAACAGATGTAAAAGGAAAACTTACAAGTGATTTCTCGGCTAAATGGGATTGAATACTCTTCACTAATCGATTATCATCAAATCCCACAAGGCATGGAAAAACACGCTTCTCTATAAAGAAAATGCAAAAAGTTTGAAAATCACTCAATAAAGTAAAAATTGTGTATTTTAATTTCTCATTCAGTGAAGCGATTGTACAGTATATATACATATATACACACATATATTACGAAGTTCTATGATGAGGTTTAAAGACTGGAGAAAAATTCTCTGGCATTTTTAGATTTTAACCCACGAGCCTGGGATTGGAAGTTGTGCACTTTACCTATAGAACCATATTGCCATAGCTGTACTCTTTAGATCTGTGTGTAATGAATATAGGGCCCAGTCCAATTTTTTTAATGAGATGTGTGTATTTTGTTGGTTTTCGTGATAGTAAAGACATGTTTTTTTGATGCAAATTGTTTTCTCTTTTTACCTTTAAAAAATACTGTGAATTTTTATGATGGCTACAGTTTTTATATTACAGAACTGTACTCTATATTTATTTATGGCTGTTATAAATTTATGGCAAACTAATATTTAACTACCATGTTTATCATATTATTTGTGCAGTAAACTACCTTAAAATCAAGTGAACCTCATAAATATACACTTATGAGGTCCACTTGTCTCATCTGAATGAATAGAGAAACAAAGCTTTACCTTTTAAAAGTGCCTCAGCTGCATATAAATCTCTCCTATATGTTACCTAGATTCAGAGAGTAAATAAAACAATTGCAGTAAATAACAGGGCTTCAAAATAAGAGGTTTATTCAAGTAGAAGTTTATTCGTATAAGCATACACTTTCTATGGAAAAGTATTGCTTATTTTTCTAAGCATAGAGCACAGTATCAGATACTATTTTGTTAAACTGTGTACTAGTGCAAAGGCACTAATCATAAAATCCAGACATCATATCATCCCTTGAGTTTCCCCCTGAAAAACGCATTGTAAAATGTGTGATTCAGGAGAGGTTGAGGATGAATTTTATTATATTATCAAATGTAGTGATTACAATGTTCTAAGACTAAGATGATTAGTATTTAATGACATTTAAAATGCCATTGCCAATTTCGACTTGCTTCCTTGTGCGCAGAAAATAGACCTTTCCGGAGTGTCAATCTAACTTAACAACTGACAAATCAGAACAACGCCAGGAATATGCGCGCTTCTCACAAACACATGTGTCGTCCCACAAACGCACGTGTTTATGTTTTAACACTGCCGTCTTACAGGACCTTAGCAACAATATCCAAGGGGAGGGGCTTAGAGGAAAGGTCCATTGTTGCTGTAATGGAGTCACATGATTTTGACACCATCTCCTCTATTGGAAAATGTATTAGAAATGCATTTTTAAAGAGTCTGTTAATGGATAATAATCTTAAAAATAACATGTATACTGTATGCACTTCTGTTGATGTCATGTTAAGTTTACTTGCCTGCAAAAGACTACCGTATATGTATTAGGTGGAATGAACAATTAGCTCTAAAGACTCTCAAATGTTAAAAGGGTTTACTCCATCTTATCTATCTTCTAAATTTTACATTCAATATTGATTCTAAACGTACACATTCATAACAACCTTATTGTACCATGACAATGGAATAACCATCAAGGCCAGAGAACTTTTTTGTATCGCCCAACAAAGTTGTGGAATGATCTTCCACATGATGTAACAACAAATTTCATGGACATGTCTATTTCATTTTAAAACCTCTTTTAATTCTTAATTATTTTTATTGTATATATTCTCGCTGATGAAGGCCACAGGAGTGGCAGAAATATCCGAGTTTATAATAAATCAGTGTTCTTAAAGTCTACTACTGAAGTTGTTTCATTATTTTCTATTATTCTGTCGGAACACACG